CAGTAGGAAGATAAACTCTACAGAACTGGTGGGATATGTCGATTCTGACTATGCTGGTGATTTAAAAAAGCGAAGGTCTACTACAGGGTATGTCTTCACACTAGTAGGTAGACCTATTTCATGGAAGGCAATGCTTCAACCCACGATTGCCATGTCTACGACAGGGCATAATATATGACAGCAGTTGAGGCTACAAAGGAGGTAATTTGATCGACTGGTTTGGCTCGTGAGTTGGGGGTGGAGCAAGAAGGTACTGCATTGCATTGTGATAGTCAGAGTGCCATAAATCTTCAGAGAATTAAGTGTTTCAGACAAAGACAAAACACATTGATTTGAGATATCACAAGATCAGGAAACTTGTGTCAGAAAGAATAATTCACCGAAAGAAAATTCATACGAATGACAACCCTATAGATATGCTTACAAAGTCGGTCACCATAGAGAAGTTCAAGCTTTCTTGGACTTCCTTAATGTCTCTCAGTGTTGAGAGTGAGGGAAGCACCCCATGGCAGGTGGGGGTGCAGTAGTGTACCTTTATGAAGGTAGGGGGATGAAGACATCTTTAGGGTGACTCGACAGAATTCAAGCCAAGGTGAAGATTGTTGAGGATTGATGTCTTGTATTCTGATGAAATATATCTATCAAGGTTCGGATATATCCGTACATGAAATTCGATATATCTGGGACTTGATATATATATATATATCCGTACAAAGGTATTTCGATAATTTGTACCATCAATCTGGGACTCGATATATATCATTGGGGGATCATCCAAAGTTTAGGATTAAGGGAAAAACGCAGATCTCTTTGTAATTAGATAAGAACATAGAGGCATAAGAAAGAGAGCGAATAGTAACCCCATTCTCCATTGCCAATAAAGAAGCTCTGATCTCCAGTGGATGTAGGCACGTTATCGAACCACGTATATCTTTACATTGTGGTTGATTGTCTCTTTCTTTTGTGTTTGTTTCTTCTTTCTTGTTTTTCGTGGATTGTTTTTCATTTCTATAATAAATGGAGGGGATTGAGGGGAAAGATGGTGGTGAGAGCTTCATTGAGGATGAAGGTCGGTTTGGTCGGGTAAAAGTGTGAGAGGTATAGCTACTGGCAATATAGCCTATCTGGTAATTGACATAGTCAGCTACTCAACCAAAGTACTGAGGAACATAGCCTAATTGGTTAGGGAGAAACTCCAGGTTGAGGACAGGGTGATCGTGAAAGTTGGATGAGTCTTTGAATCTATGAGTTAGGAGCTAAATTCAGTCAAGGTTTCTGACTAAGATGTAGGAAAAATTGGGATAAGGATTGCTCCCTCTCACATATATTTGGTTGCACCACGGACTATGATCCTAATAGAAAGACCCAAAAAAGCATAACCCCACTGAATATTATATTTGTTGTATTGGGCTTAGATATGTGGCGTATTTGATCAACATTGTGTATGTTGGTTGGTTAGAGTCTTACCACAGTTAAATATACATTACGGTGTACATAAACTCTTCAAAATCAAGAGATTTAGAGGCATGAGAGGAGCTCACTTTTTTCAAAGTGTTAAACACCACCGCCTCAGTAAAATTTTGAGTAAACATAGCTCTCAATGAGTACACTCTCATGATACAGCTAGATCTGAATACAATTCTGGAATCCTTGAGTTACACCTAAGATCCGTACAAAACCCTAGTCTAAAAATAACTATTATGTCTTTCCAATCGGTAGATACTATAAATATCAATTGAAAACTTATAGATACTATAAATATCAATTGAAAACTTACTTCTCTCTCTTAATATACACTTTATCTTCTAATCGGTATAATACAAAACATCAATTAGGATCATAATATCTCTCTCATGACTAAAATCATCCAATCGATAAAATAACATCAGTTTAGCATCGATTGCGACATAAACACACTTATATGATCATCCCGTGCCATACAATGTAGAATATGATCATCCCGTGCCATACAATATAACAAAACCTGTTATCTGAAATTTGCTCGAGCCTGGTGCTACAAAAACATCTACTTCAAACCGTGTCAACTTCACTTCCTTGTCTGCTTCCTCGGTTAACAATCGAGAATATAGGCATGAGGGCGAGGAACTTGAGTGCTAAATTTATGAGAGAGCCACGAAGAACTCAAAGCAAGAGTGAGAGCTCACTGTCACGCTTCCTGTGTCACGCTTCCTGTATTTAACACGGTTTCAACCCCGTCCAGTGAGAAGTCTCTTACAACCCTATTATCTTTTGGAAAAGTTTATATAAAGCCTAGGCTCTAAATAATCAAATTTTAGCCTACTTCAAAAATTTCTCTAGAAGAGGTTGTTTTGATGCCCAAATATCTTCAAATTGATCATCTTGACATCAACATGCATAGACATGAAAAAAAAATAGATTTCATGTTTTGAAAATAGTGTATTTTGCAACGCATTTTTGGACGGTCAATTTTCAAAATTTTCAAGTTTTCATAGATCTGTCGATCAATACTATTTTTGAAGCTTTAAACTTTATAACTAGATATGAAAATATATTTTAAGAGTATCACAAAGATTTCTAGTATTGAAACCACATTTCTCAATACTATTTGAAGGTAGGTTATAATTTGATTGTTTAGAGCCTAGGCTCTATACAAACCACAACTTACTTAAATTGGCGTTCCTTGAGAGAGAAATACTGCATAACACCTCATGAGAAGTGTCAAAAATACATTAAATGGGGTGTTTAGATGCCACGTACTCGGAGGCAAAAAGAACCACATAGAGAAAAAATATGAAGCAAAATATGAGTGGACCAAAATATCTATAATATATTAATAGACTAGCAACAAATATGATGAATAAAAGATGTTTTGAAACAAAGTTTTGGCAAAAGCTAACAGTGTACACATTTTTTTTTGTCATTTTTCTATTTCAATTTTAATTTTACTTGACTATATAAAAATTTCAGATTCTTTTTTTTATTTTTCTTTTATTTTACATTTTTCCCAAAAACTATTTGGACTTTGAACTCGAACAAATCCGTATGAACTCACTGGAGAAACTTAGTCAAATCCGCTTGAACTCACTGGAGAAACTTAGTTCAAGCAGCACCTGACACCTCAGCGGAGTTTTAAAAGCTTGAAACAGAGGGACAAGAGCTTTTTTGAGATAGAAACCCATAAAATAATGCGAAGCCCCATTGTATGAGAGAGAGAGATGAGCAATGTAAAGAGCTAGCAGCGATCTGTTGGATATTGAACCTAATTTATTTGATGGAGAGAGATAATGAGAGAGATATCTAGAGAATGCAGAGAGAAAATGATCTTATGCATCTTGTGTAGTGTACATGTGAAAAAATGATGTCCCTATACGTAAAGGGCAAGCTTTATATGTTTCCCTCAACATAACTTATATATTTCCCCTTATCCAACCATCCATTCTGAATGGAGGGCTAAGATTGTCCCAATCACAATGTCATTTCTCTACACTATTTTATTTTTAATTTTTTTCTATGAACTATTTGGCACCAAATTTTGTAAGTCTAAACCTCTATTAAACTCACACTTGCGAAAAATATAAAAACAATATTTTCAATAAAATACAATAACCAAAATACCCTTGAAAAGTTTAAGGGGTAGTTTGGTCACTATATTTTATTGAAATATTAATTTTTATAGGTGCGCCCCAATGAGAAGATGACACGTACCAAATTTCATATTCATAAAATTTGTATAAGAAAAAAATTAAAAATAAAATACTTTGACATGTCGGATTTAAAATCAAACGGTGAGTGACTCTCTTGATCAAAATTGAACGGCCGGATGGTAGGGAAAGCATAAATCTTCTATGCTGCAGGGGAAATATAGAAACTTTTCCCATATGTAAAATAGGAGTTCGTTATAAGTGGAAGTGGCAATACAATGTGGTGTTTGAGTAACATTTTAATCATTGCCACACCCTCTATATAATGGGTTGGCATGATAGTGTAAGCAAGGAAGGAGGACGTGAGTGTGTAAAAAGCCTGTAAGAAATAAAAATCACATAGTCCTCATGTGGTCCCTCTTCCTCATAGTTTCAATTTTATTTAAATTAGGGAAGGAGAAGTTATGTTCCTTATTGAATGAGCCCCCATTAATTAAGCAGAGTGTAAGTAGACAGGTTACTTGTATATTTTTACCCCCAGAGTTTATGGGAAAGGGAGAAACAAGCCGTTGAGGGATTTACTTTTCAAATCCCGTAGTGCACATATACTATCATTTCCCTTTGTAAAACTTAAAATAACCTTTATGAACCCGCTAGGCGCTAGCTTTTTTAAAAACAACTAGTTGGAATTCAATACAAGCTTATCTAGTGGCCATCATGCAGTGTTTTATTTTTAATATTTTTATTTATTTATATGAGCTGAAATATCGTAGAGGTGAGGACAGGCATAGATTGAAAAGGAAAAAAAAAAAAAGTTAAAAATCAAATGCATGGAAAAACGATGAAAATACCCCGGCCACTTTTGTGGGACAAAAGTTGTTCAAATTGGTCAATATGCACTATGCACTATATAGCATAGACCTCCCAGCACATAAGAATCACTCCCAATTGTGTGGGGCTGGCAATGGGCCGCCTAACCCGACTTTAAAAAAATAGGGTCTAGGCCACAATTGTGGCCAGAGGATAGGCCAGGGAAACCCAGCCCGACTATTTTTTTCTTCTCTTTCTTTTTTTTTTTAAAAAAATTCTTTAGGTCTTTTAGCACTAGCCCGGCCAAAACAGGGCCAGAGCCAACCCTGGATAGGGCCTCTTAGGCTGTGTCCAGGCCGGGCTCAAACCATGAGTGGCCTGGAGGGGTGTCAGATTGTAAGACATTTCGGCGCCCCATAGGGTGAAAATCCTCACAAATCACATACCATAACACCATAACATATTCACCTAATAAACTATGAAAATGCTCTATAACACAAGCATAAAATATATATCCCATCATAATACTCCAAATTAAACATATAAACTATGTCTCATTGTCTTCATATATTAAAAAGAAAAGTCGAATAGTAAGTTCAAAAGTTAGTATCATATGACAGCAACCACCCCAATTTATGCATTAATAATAGGCGCTGGTTATATGACACCTTCAGTTCTTAGAATATAGACTAGTAATAAGTCCTTATTTTTATTTAGGTCAATGCCTCAATCCCTTGCACTATCAGCCATTCAACTCTTTTATTATCGACCTGTTGCTCCAAATTCACTGCAAGGTTCACAAAGGGAAATGAAATCAGCATTATTATTTATTTTTTTGGAAAATAATAACCCTATGGCCCAAAATCATATGGGCATATTTGGATGGCTTGTAAGTGGCAGATACTGCAACTTTGTATAACAAGCCCACATAATTAGGTGTTCGGGGTTTGAAAAGCAAGAAAAAAGAATGTTAATGAAACAATGAGTTAAACATTGGCCTAAAAAAGAAAATTTTGAATACAATTACTTATGTTTTATTAACTGATACTAGAAAAAGGATGTGTAAGAAACAAATATTGAGATCCTTTGCGCAAAGAAATATATAAGCTCAATATTGGCATTTTTGAATATTATGGAACCTCAATTATAATGAAGAAAGTAAGAGTAATGCAATTACCTGTGGAGGATCGTACATAACAGAATTAGAGAAAAAGGGCTGTTGTAACATCATCTGTTGAGGTATTTCATGTTGACGACTGGTAACATCCTGAAAAATACACAAGTTAAAAAATGGAGTAGAACAACTATACGATCGGAGATACCGGAAGGCATCAATGACTCATGTAAACAATGACAAATTCGGAACAATCGTAGCAGATAATAATGGAGTAGTAAATGCCTTGTAGCAGTATCAGTCTTAACTAGTTCAATGCTCTTTTCAAAGATTGCAAGTTGAAATCATATACTTGTCCATCCAAAGAGAACCAAAACTCCCAAAGCTAAGAGGTTTGGGGCTCTTGATTTCATATCCCAGGTGTTAAAAATAACAGGACAATCCTAAACACAAACACAGAGAAGTCACGGTCGGTACCGACCAAAGAGATGTCCATAAAAGTTCTCAAACAAACAACATAACCCAAAACAATGAGGACAAGTTCTCTGAAATGTTTTCCAATGTATATTTCACGAATACAACGTAAGAATTATAGGGGCAGAAACCTAATACCCATGGAAGTTGACTCATAATTTTCATTGTTTGGAGTTTGGAAGTGTACTAAAAAAAATAACGCATTTCAATTCCCATAAATAATCAATTTTTTAGCTTGGAGATAATTCCCTATATTTTACTCAGAAGAGCAACCTAAAAGTAAAACATAGAAACCCAGAAAATAACTTTGACAAATAGTAATCAAATAAAACCCTAAGCAATTAACCAATTAAAAAAAAAGAAAAAAAAAAAAACAACACCAACCAAGTTGTTCCTATTTTAACTCTAGGTTACATTTTTGACGTTAGGCCCAGTTTGGACAGACTGTGAAACATGAATTGCACTATTTCTTAACTCGCCAATCCTAGGACTCTTCCATGAATGGTTTGTTTCTGTTCATGTTTGAAGCCAAATTTGCGAAAACTTGGCAAATTGCATAGAACCTGACTTGTGTCAAAGAAACAAAAAGAAAAAATTATACTTTGATTTGTGAAATGTCGTAGACAAGAATACACGACTTGATCGTTCCAAACTACGTCTTAGGTGACAACATTAGTTGTATTAGTACCGCCTTGCAGTTGGGAGATCCTTCTCTCTATCCTAGGCTACATGCTTAAATCCATCTTTGCCTATCAACTAAGAAAAAACTACAGTAGTAGTGTATTAGTAGTACTACCAGTACCATCAAATGTTATTGTAGGTAATAAATGTTGTCGTCGTCGTTTTAACAGTATCAGAGGTGGTTAGTTTTTATAATCTTTATTGATGCTCTGTGGCAACAATTGAAGTTCTAGACACTTGTTTTCCTGAATTTGGTCAAGCTTGTTACTGAGCTTGAGACATACCTCAGGAAGAATTTGATTAAAAGGTCGAGGATTCATTTTAGGAAACTGCATTCCACTGTAAGGAAGGGACTCGTTTCCTGACCAATTCACTCCAAATTGATCATCCTGCATACACAAGAAAGGTTGAACGCCCTGTAAACACAAGAATGTGTTTTAGCTTCAATAAGATTATTTCAAATTTTACTTAAAGAGGAGCAAAAGGAATTGAGTACCAAAATGATAATTAACTAATGTACCCGAAATTCTTCCATGGGAACAACATCAACAAGGAAATCGAGGACTTCCCCTGCCCTTATGGCCCCAGCGATGTCACTCCTTTGTAAAGTACGCCGCTTGCACTCCTCGGTGTGCAACCACGCCCTCAATGTCAGTTCTAGTATGAAGAGCTCACAGGCTTTGGCGAAAAGAATCGGGGTTTCAGCACTAATCATCTGTTACATATAAAACATTTGAGAAAACAAAAGCACATCTTTCACTCTCTGCCTTTCTTTACTTTGGGAATTACAGCTTTAGTTCAAAACAAACTAACCTTGACGTCGTCATCAGACTTCATGATCTTTTTTATCCTAGCAAGAGGGAGCTGATGTTGACGGAACTCTGCAAAGAAACACAAGCGTTCCTACTAAGATAAATCATGAATGTACCTACCCTTTTTATTTTCCTTCTTTCTGTGGAATTCAAACCATGGATGTGTTGTGTACCCTTAACCATTCAGCCAAATCCCAAAATCTCAAAAGTGAGGGTATGTCAACTGGTTTTATAAGAAATTAAATTACCCGTCTTCGAATAACTATGTAGTACACACTTCTGCAATAGCGTCCCCTTACAGACTAAACATCATCATATAGATGGATGTTAAAGAATCACAGCCCCCAAAAAATATTTAATTTAACGGCATGAAAATATATAAAAAAATCATTTTAAAAAAATATATATTATTCGCTTTTAGATTTATGTTCATCATGGTTTAGACTTACCATCTTTAAAATTTTAGATCTAAAATCCATCTCTAAAGTAGATATTTGGAGAGATGGCTCATTTAAATGGATGAGTCGGCTGACTCATAAAAAAACTTACCTGATTTTATAACTAGATAGATCTTTACAATATTTAGCATACCCCTAAAAACCAACAGGCTAAGGTCAAAGGCCTGATACATTTATATGAAATATATTGGGATGAATTCTTTTAGAATAAAAGACCAAGGTATAATTACTTGATTAGGGATTTGATACACCCATCTAATGGTAAAAGACATTACTACAATAACAACAGGAAGATTCAAAGCATAATTTAATCTTCTTTAATCTTTTAGTATAGTGGAGCATTTAAATATAAAACAAATGAGTAAAAACATATAGTAAGCATTATAACACAACAAATGGGATCAAATAACAGTATGATTCAGGGAAGAATATCAGATATCAACTGGTATTGTTAAAAACAATAGCAAGAACAAGGAGCATTGCATGTTTGCCTTTTGTACAATTGGGAACCATAAACATTGTTTGTTACTATTATATTTGAAAAGCTTGAACCAAAGGTAAATGGTCCATTATATACTTTCCCCATTATATACTTTCCCATAATATAAGATGGGTGTTTATACATTAGGAGGAATACCATTTATGAATATAAAAGACGGTTTTTAGCAACTATAACGGGGCGTTATAACAGTAACTATACATTCTTGGTCCACGTTATAACCATGTGATGCATGACAAGGTAAGTAAAAGACAAGTCTAATTAAGTTAAAGGTATTCGCCATTTATTAGTTTGCATCGACACTGCATGACTTAATAAATACCCTTTTGTCACTTTGTGAAAATTTTAATTTTACCCTTACCAAATGACCAGACTAACCTTAGCAAAATAAAATAAAATAGAATTCTCTACAAGAAAAAGGGAGTAATTCTTGTAAATGAGCACTAACACCAGGGTTAGCCAATATTATTGGCGGAGGAAGGTTAAATTTAGGAGCTACAATAAATGAAAGACTTCCTGAATTGTTAAAATCAAGACATTTTGCAATTATTCAATAATAAATCCCCAAAAAAAAAAATCACATGGTGACTTTCAAATTTTCAGAGCTACTCCCAAAAAAAAAAAAAGAACCTTTATGAAAGAGGAAGCCTATCAATCTTTGAAGCACTCAAGCATGCACGTTAAATTTTCATCTTTTCAATTGCATAACTTTCATGAGAAGTTGATGTATTTTGGTTTTATAGAAAACGCAAATGTCCACAATTGAATAATCAGCATTTAACAAGGAACTTTCAAGGAATTTTCAAAAATGAATTTTCACAATTCAAGGAATTTTCAAAAATGAAGAGAAGAAATGTCGCTTTATATAAACATATTTCTTATGGAGGCCTAAATTTTAAAAAATAACTTTAGGTCCTCCTATTTTCTGACCATTTTCCCCGGAAGTTGTAGAGATTTCCGACAGGCCAGCCTGGCAGTTCATAGCAAAAACTTATCCGTAACCCATGCAGTCATTTCATGATCAAAAACCTCAGGCAAAATGATACTAAAAGAATACATATACATATATATATATATATATAAAACAAGAAGAATATTTAGGAGAAATGCCATTCCTAAACCATTAATTTGGTCTCTGCATACTTAGATTTTCTTCAGAGTCTTTTTCGGTTTGATGAGAAAAATGAAACAATTCGGTGGTTCGGTCGATTCAGGGGATGATTTCAGGCTTTTTTTTTAATGTAATATAAATAAATTAGATATTTATATATAAAAATAATAAAAAAAAATTAAAATAAATATTTTAGAAAAATAAAAAATGAAAAAAAATAATTTTATGTAGTTATTTCTTTGCTTAGGCTGTAGAAGCTGAAGCTGCCGCCAAATCGGTACGAAGCATACCCGAATTTGGCCAAAGCAGCCTAAATTTGACTGAAATGACAACACCAAGCTTTGCTTCATCCTAGGCCTAAAATCTAAAGGCTTCAGCCTCCCCCGAAGCGAAGCGAATTTGACAACACCCACTTTTGCTGAACCATTTATTACAAAAATGGACAGTCGATTTGCAATGCAATACCATATAACATGCACCCGTGGCATATCTTATTCTTACCCTTGTAGCTCCCCAATACATGTGAAGGGGCTTAGATTAGGACAAACAAGTCAAAGTTTTCCTGAAATTTCTTAGGCTTCAGGACTCATTAAAATTCGTAGTTTTATGACCACTGAGATAGTAAGAAAGAAGGAAAGAAAGGGAGAGAGAACCAGAGATTTGTTCCATTTCGATCATTCGGCGCTGCCAAAACAAGCGTAGATGTTGCTTTTGCATGAGTATGTAATGAATCCGAGGGGACATGATGCTCTCCCCCACTTGATACTGCCCCCCCTAAGTTGCATACAAAACCAACTCAACAAGTTAATCAAATCGGAAACCAAAATCAAATAAAAAAAACTCATAAATTCATTATGAATGGCACTGTATGTAGATATATGCAGAGAGAGAGAGAGAGAGAGAGACCTCCGGCTGGTAGTTTTGCTGAGGGAAGAGCATGTGAGGAGGAGTGGGTATGAAAGTCTGGGGGTGAGGAGTAAACGAGGATGAAGATGCCTGAAACTGCATTTGGTGGTTGGCATTCATAATTTCCACTTCCTTCTCTTACTGCGAAAACAGGGATAACTATCAGTATATCACACAGAAGAGAGAGACAGAGAGAGAGTTACCTATAGAGAACGAAAAAACGCAGAGAGAGGGAGTGAGAGAGTTACCTATAGAGAACGAGAAATGCAGAGAAAGAGAGAGAGAGACTTACCTGTAGAGAACGAGAAACGCAGAGAGAGAGAGTTACCTATAGAGAACAAGATATGCAGAGAAAGAAAGAGAGAAAGAGTTACCTATAGAGAACAAGATATGCAGAGAAAGAGAGAGAGGAAATGTAGTAGATTGATGGATTCAATGGCGTCAATGGCCCAATTTATAGAGGTTGGGAGAATAGTGGAGGAGGGAGGATCTTTGAGAGAGGGTGTAGGAGTTGAGGTGGCGTCAAAAATAGAAAAGCAGTTTGTAAAAAGTGCAAACGTGCATATGGATTTTAGTGTACTTTGTCAACATAGCGTAGGGGGAGTCTGAAGCCCTCACCAGAGGAATATTCGCCACCTTATTCACCACCCCTAATTTCCCTCTTTTTTCAACTCTCTTTGCATTTTTAAGGGAAACATGGAAAAAGGGGCATGCATTTCCCATTGGTAAATATTTTCCAACTGTGAAATAACTGTTAGTTACCTTTTCTCTACATATACAGTAATCACCCTAGGGTTTACTTCGTCGGATAAGTTCAAATTTTGCTAATGCTTATCTCCTTACCATGCCATGACTTATTTGGCTCGAGACATATGAATGACTTTTGCCTCTCTTTTCTCAAATTGAATTAAAGCATTTCCATAATAAGGGCCATTCTCCATATAGGGACCATTCTTATCACCAAGTGTTTGATAAAATACGTGACACTGTGACCGAATAATCTAAATAAAATTGTGAGGCCGTTGGGCTAAGACTATTCAATTAGAGCTTATTGTTTCTCATTTAAATTTTGAACAAAGCTGAGACAATAGTTTAATGAATAAAATGCAAGATGAGCACCTGTCTACAGGTTTTGTTTTTATGACTATTAGAGAAAGTAGCATATATCACCATACTGAAAGCCCCTCCCTAGCTAATTAGTGAACAATGTTTGTTTGATATCAACAATCACCATTGCTAAATCATTTTCACAAGGATTATATCATGAATAAGGCTCACTAAGAACAAGAACTCTCATGTCATATCTGTAAAATTGAAATTATCGCGATATTTTAAGGTTCCCTGGTAAATATTCTAGCAGAAATCCTTTCACCAATATTGAATTTCAATTTGAAATTCAATTTTAATTGATTGAAAGTCTAAAAGAAACAAATGACTTGCATATAGAAGCATATCTTGCAGAAAAGGTCATTAAAATTTGTGGCTGATTCTAGTGAATATCATAAAATCATAACAACTTTTTTAAATCAAAATTAATTTCATAAAACTTCATTACTTTTCTAGATAAACTTCAATATGTGTTGTAATGGCGGTTATTACTACGGTACGTTACGATAAGGACTCATACACCAAAAGAGGCCATTTCTGTAAGAAAGGCTGTATTGGTTCCAGCTGATTACTAATTTCTAACCCGGTGCATTCTATATGTGGCTCTCACTTTTCAGACGTTTAATGCGCGTGACATAGGCATTTACTCCATGGATGACGTTTTGTCGTGACGTCGAGATTCGACTGTTGGATTCTCTTTTGGTATTCTAAATATGTTTGGGCTCTAATTTCAGCAGCTGCCCACAGTTTTTGCCGCAACATGGTCTTGGAATACACTGGATTACGACAATTATGACTTTATGTAAGCGTTCCAAAAATGCGGCAAAGTGCTGCATTGGCTTCGAGTGGTCGGGACTCAAGCCCTTGGCTTGGTGCTTTGAGCATTAGTGGACCTCAGCATAATATCTGATGTTTGAATCCCACCACTGAGCATTTCAAAATAAGATTAGTGGCAGCAAAAATGATAAATTCCCCATTGTTCACAGTGAGATATGGTAGTAATACTACAAAGACTTTTGGTTATTTATTATAGTGGGGCAAATTTGTGATGCTATAAAGTTTGTTTCTTGAACTGCTATGCTGTGTTATTTGGTTATAAAAGTGGCTTGTCTGAATGAGAATTAGATTGTGGCAGCAAAAAATGATAATCCCCCATTGTTCACAGTGAGATATGGTAGTAATACTACAAAGACTTTTGGTTGTTTATTATAGTGGGGCAAATTTGTGATGCTAGAAAGTTTGTTTCTTGAACTGCTATGCTGTGTAATTTGGTTATAAAAGTGGCTTATCTGAATGAGAATTAGATTTGATCATATGTTTGGTCTTGTAAAATATGTTGCCATTTGGTTTCAAAACACAATATGCTAGTAACTTCTTAATGATATGATATCAATAGATGGTTGAAAAGTGCCAGCATTTTTTACGGACAATAAGCAAAGGTCAGTTATGGGATTCGAACCAAAGAACCGGAGCTACAATTGTGAACATTAAGCCATGAAGTCAGTGCCTGAATTCCAAATGCTAACATAACTTTCTTATATCTTATATCTATAGCTGACGAAAAGTTTCTATCATTGGTTGTAATAGGGAATTTACATTAAAATCCCCAAAAAAATTTTACAATTACATAGAAAGAAAGCAAGATGCTTCTTTATATGGAAAAAGACATCCTAAAGGCACCTCATGAAGATCCAAATCGTATGCTTTGCGTCCTGAACACAACTCACAACCCTACCAGTTGGAGCCACACACTAGCATTTAGTGCTTCATTCAAAACAAGCAAGAGAGAATGGGGCTGTTATTTTAAACATGCCATATTTAAGAATTTTAATATAGATATAAAAGGAAGATAGAAACCAAGGTCACCAATTCAGGTGGTTTTAATTGCTTGGGTTGATTGGAAGGCTCATGGTTTGGGCCAAATTAGATTTTGATTGCTTAGGCTGCAATTTTACAAGAAATGCCGCAATTAAGTGAAGGAGCATCTTCATTTACATGTTTGGATGCAACTTACGTTTTGGTCAACATGTGGTTTGCATTGCAAAAAAATATGGTGTTTTGCAGGTGCGATGAAAATAGATGTTTTCAGGTTGCGTTTTGCTCTCAAAAGACAAATAGCAATTTTTAATGAAAAATATTGTGTTAGGGTTGCAACCCTCTCAAAAAAAGTAAAACCTCACCTCAAAACCTACCGAAAATTGTAGTTTTGGGGTCGAAAAACCGTCAAATCGATCATCTCAACCTAATCATTATGGTTACGAAAAAATTAGGATTTCAAACCCTAAAAATAGTGTATAATATAATACATTATCTAGACCATCCATTTCGCCCTAAACCAAGTGCTCACAGATCCACAAGATCTATACTTTTTCAAGCTTTAAATTTCATAATCGTTGTTGGAAATTGATTTTAAAGTCATCATGGAGATTTCCCTATATAAAGTGCATTCCAAACAAAGATTTGAGGTGAGGTTTTGTTTTCATAAAGCCCAAGCCTTATAGAAATTGCATCCAGTTTTTAAGGGAAGCATACGTCCCTATCGGTAAAAGCCCCAAAATAGGCCATTATTACTTGGTAGGACGAGCCCCTCGAAATTTTTTATTTTTTACCAAATTTTCCCCTGGTCCGATTTTTAAGTCATCAAACCACTTGCTAACATCTCATTTCTTATTTCGAAGCGGTCTGATATTTCAAATATCAATCCGCTAGAGTGTTCTTTCTTTTTTTGTTATTTAGTGAGCATTTTATTTTTTATTGTGAACTTAAATAGCGCTTAGCGAGAATTTTAAACCCGAACAGTCTCTCCTTGAACCCTCACTCTTCTCTCACTCTATCTTATCTCTCGCTCTTTTGTTATCAATTGTACATGTAAGGTGATCTAACATCCCAACAATCGGACCACACTCTGTTATGATTACACTACATGAGTGGTCAGATGTTCCAACCATCAAACCGTCTTCTGTTGTCATTGTCTTCATAAAAAAAGGTGCACTTCGATAGTTGGAATATCGAACTACACTTTGTTATATCTAGCCACACAAGACAGGCGGTCCAACGGTTGGAACATTGGGCCAAACTCTATTATCTCTAGCCACGCAAGACAAGCAGTCTGATGGTTGGAGCATCAGACAACACTATGTTATCTCTAGCCACACAAGACTAGCGGTCCGATGTTGTAACAATCGAACTTCTTTCTGATATAATTGAACATGTTAAAAAGCGGTCCGATTGTTGGAAAATTGGACCATTCTCCACTATGTGAAAAGCCTTTTCAAACAAAAGGCGGTCTAATGTTCTAAACATCGGACCGCCTTTTGAAATAGAAAAGGAATTAAAAGGCCATTCATTTAAAAAATTTGGAGCATCCAGTATTACATTCTAGAAGTTCAAACAAAAAAGATAAAACCCCAATTTTATATCATTTTTACGCAACAAACTTTATACAGAAACAAAAAACATAAGAGCCTTATTTTGCTCATTGTCTCGGCTGGTATTGTTTTGTCATTCCTTTACCAATCTAAATCCCATGATCAAGCTCGCTAGACCCCTCGTTCTGTTGTTGTATTGTAATGCCTTGAACCGGTCGCAGTGAGATTGAATCGTGGCTCCACCTCTACCTCCCATATGGGCTCAAGCATGGGTGCATCCTCATCTGCCTCCACATGCTCGGGTAGGGGACCTCCTCAACTGCCTCCACAAGCTCGGGCAAGGGGGCCACCTCTACTACCTCCACAGGTCCAAACAAGGGGACCTCCTCTTCTGCCTCCTCATTTGTCTTCTCGACTATGTGCACCTCCTTATCTGCATCCTCGACTACGTGCACTTTCTGCATCATCAGTCCTCGATGAGCAGCCGTTACGTGCTCTCGAGCAATAGGTCCCATATCATCTGATGTCAGTGCAAGAGTGAGATGTTGCAGTGTGTGATTTACTCTGCTAACTTCAAAAGAGACAAATATAAATGTAAAATAAATAGAAAAGAATAAACAACATTTTCTTACCATGCTTAATCCATCGGCATATAATCTCGGAGTGAATATTGCATCCCTTGGATATGTAGGGTCACAAATCATCGGTCTAGACACCCTCGAATACCAATGTACATTCCGAAATGAGGGCATCCCACCCTAAGTGTCATCCTTACCCCCAACCCAATGACTGTATCGATCCTCCTATCTTTGGATCTACGGGGCGAGCTCTTGCTCCCACAAAGCCATATA